TCCCAGCGGATCTTAACGAAACCGCTGGGTTTTGGCTCCTCGCTCCGAGGCAGGCGAAATCCACGGCCCAGCTGGCCGTGCTGTGGGGGGCTTCTGTCAGCTTGACCGGCTAAACCCAAGGGAACCTAAATGGTGGAGGAATAGCGAGAGTGGGAAAAGGTTTTGCTAAATTAGGACTCACCAACGTGAGGAAAACGACCCGACAGCCGCTGCGGGTATGGATTAATTTGCCATAGCTCCCAGCTGAGCGCTTTCCACTTGAATTGTCGTGGTTTATTTAACTCACTAACCAGGAAAGGAAGGGTATCTGTACCCCGGGCGGTGTTCACGTAACAAACTATTCTGGTTTCAGCCGACAACAGCTCTCTCTGCCACTTTCCATATTGCGGACCAGTCCATAGGTCTCCCTCTACGTGTACTTTATGGCACTCCGACGCTAGCAATCGAGTTACCAGACCATAACGAGCTACCGCTCATTAGCCAAGCTCGGGTAGCTGCATGCAGGCTTCTAGTCTCTCCCATTTCTTAGGCGAAGAGCTGAAATCGCCATCGGTTCACCCATGTGTGCAGTTTATTTTGTTGGAACTGTTGACAGCAGAGTAGCTGTTTTGGAGAAAACCTCTCATGGATATTTTGCTGAGCAAGTGGGGATAAATTCCTTCACTTACTTTAAACCAACATATATCATTTATATCAAGGGTCTATGCTAATACAGCGATATACATCAAATGTTCAGAGTAAATTCTATGTCGTGGTCTATCAAGTCTTTATTTTACTTCTAAATTCGTCGCAGTGACAGAATCCCCATAGTGCTGTGTCAGAACTTGTGCCATCATATAAAAAGATCAGATTGACACAGCTTCAAGATGATTTGTATTTATGCTTACAACCCTATTTAAAAAAAGAAAGGTTTGCTGTATTTGTTTTAATTACACATTGCTCATTTTATCTAAAAAAAAAATGGATCTACCAATAAAATGTTAATGAAGTAGCAAAGACTGCATTTTCTATTTTAATTTTTTTAATGTAATGGAAAATGCAGCCTGCTCTTTGAATAACTTCTCTGTCCCTTTTAAATATTTATTGTGATTAAGCTTGGACGGGGGAAGCGGTAGAAGCTTAGTATTATTTGAAATATTTTCCACAGCTTTTTTTAAAGTTATTATTCCTGGTTTCTATGGGGAAAACTGTTGTGGAAAATATATACAGCAAAAGTTCAACAGAGCAACCTAAATAGAGAAGAACTCTATATGGAGAACTGCAAGAATACCCCAGACCTCAGAGTTCATCGCTGTAAAAGGTGTATAAAGCCACAGGACTTGAACAGGGATTTACAAACCTTCTGATCTTTGATGGACAGCTGCGCCTAAGTGGCGCAATGGTGGAGTCAGAGGCACTAAACTACGATTTGTCTTGGTAGCTCTTAATCTTGGCTGAATCTGTGTGCAAAGTTGCAGCTTACATGCTACGCACAATATAACTTTTCAGAACTCCAGTTTTACTTGTTCTGTTTGATAAAGGTGTGGGTTTTTTTTTTTTTTAAATCAGTCACTTTGGCAACAAAATACATATGGTTTGGATCAGACTCTTTCTTTGCTTCAAAAAACCCACAAAACCTGAGACCTGTTTTTAATATCGGAGGGCTTTTTGAGGCTGTCGAGAACAACGTCGGATTTGCACATCCTCTGAGCATAGAGGAGTTTGATCCTAAATACCATAAAGTAGACTTTGTGTACTATAATTTAAATTCTACCAAACCCTTAGACCCACTTGTAGTATAAATGACAATGATATTGTGGATTTAGCCTGTGTGTCTGTGTGTGTGGAGCTGGAAGAAAGGGTTGTCTTTTTAGCTGTGCTGTATTGAATTTGTGTCCTCTAGGCTGACGTTGGACAATTCAGACTGTTCTTGTGCCTTGCCCAGAAAATCTTCACTTATTTCTAAACCAGCAAACCTACTTT